AGCCAGAGAGCCAAGCTCTCCTATCTCTTCCTGCCGCTCTGCGCATCGAAGGCCCGCCTCCCGTGCAACTGTGCTCCCCTGTGCCTGGGCTGGGATTTAGGGTTTAGGGTTTAGGGTTTAGGGTTTAGGGTTTAGGGTTTAGGGTTTAGGGTTTAGGGTTTAGGGTTTAGGGTTTAGGGTTTCGGAGATGGGGTTTAGGGTTTGTGCAAACAGGTCACTCAGACGGTCAGGGGTTAGGGTTTAGGGCTTTAGGGTTTAGGGCTTGCGGTTCAGTGGGGGTTTGGGGTTCAGGGTTGGGGTTTACGGTTTGGGTTGGGACGTTCGCCCTGAAACTACAGTCCTTACTAGGGATTATAGTACCCCTACTGCAATCCCTATCAAGGACTGTTAGTATAAGGGGGAACATCCCAACCCCTCCAACGCCATCTTTCTCCGTGGCTTCCAGAGAACTAGAAAGAGTTGGTTGTGCCCCGCACTTGAGAAACCCTGAAATCGCCGAATCCTTCCTGACCAAACAAACCCCCAACTGCTAAGCCCGAAAAAAAAACAAACAACACTACGGGACCCCAAATGACTCAGAATCTCAGCCCTAAAGTCACTTGGGCATTTCCCAAAATAGGGGTACCCCTTTTATACCTCACATAGAATAGAGGCCCCGTAAAGGGAACTCAAAAAAGGGTACCCTTCTTTTCGTAAACCCCCACTTGATTTCAAGGTACAAGTGGTATCTGGAGCCCATGATGAGCGCTGACCAGATCCGAGGCATGAGCTGTGGCTGAAGTCATCATCGAATCATTGAATCATTGGCCTGGTGCTGTTTACTAAATCAGTGTTCGGGGTCCTTTTTACTTTTGGGTTCTGGGCTTTATTATATATAAGCAAAAAGGATCCTTTTTTCTTCCTAGGGGGGAACAGGGATTAAGTTTAGGGCTGCGGGTTTAGGGTTGAGGGGCTTCCGGGTTTAGGGTCCTAAACCCCAACCCTAAACCTCCATAACACAAACTCTACACCCTAAACCCTAAGGGCTTCAGGGGCTCCAGGGTGTTTCAGGGGGTCATGCAAATCTCTTCCCTGACAAGAGAACTGCGTGTTAAAGGTGAGCGCAGGGATGAACATGAACTAGGTTCCCCTACATAGGTAGGGTTTAGGGTTCAGGATTTAGGGCTTAGGGTTTAGGGTTCAGGGTAGTTCTCTAAAATATGGTCCCTTTTGGGGTTGCTATTCCAAGGCGGCCCCGAATATTTAGGGCACCCCATAGGGGATTATAATTTAGAGATTTCGCCACATCGTGATGTAAGACCCTCATTGGAGCGCACGTCCTTGGTCTCGTAGCCCTAAACCTTAGGGTATGTTGGACGTTTGCTCCGTTGATCACATGTAGAATCTGGGTCCACCTGCCTGGATTGGGGTTTTACGTTGAGGGCTTCTCGGTACACAGGAGCCCGTACTTCACAAAGCAGTAGTTCCTAGGCAGGAAAATCGTAAAATCCCGAAGCCTAAAAGCCCTAAAGCCCCAACCCAAGCCCCAAAACCGCAAGAATGACGTTAGAACCTTGAAGCAAACCACCTTGAACCCTAAACAACCTAAACCCTAAACCCTAAACCCCAAACCCTAAACAACCTAAACCCTAAACCTGAACCTAATCCGCAACCTCAGGAAGGACGCCGCGCCGAAGGTAGAGAGCAAGAACTGCGGCCGCACCATGGGGGGTGAGAAGCGGGACTGCGACCCAAGGACAGGGTTTAGGGTTTAGGGTTTAGGGTTTGGGGTTTAGGGTTTAGGGTTTAGGGTTTAGGGTTTAGGGTTCAGGGTTCAGGGTTCAGGGTTCAGGGTTCAGGGTTCAGTGTTCAGGGTTCAGGGCCGGGCCACAGAAGCCTGGACCAAAGCCTGAGGCCTAAAAGCCTCAACGCCGAGCGCCTTGACACTCCCCCACCTTGAACTTGAAACCCTAAAGCTTGAGCTTCAAACCCTCAACCCTAAACCCTAAACCCTAAACCCTAAACCCTAAACCCTAATCCCCGAGACCCCTAAACCATAAACCCTGAAAATTTCCCCCCAAAACCCCCCAGACCCCTCAGGGTTGAGCAGTGGTTGCAGGACGGTGGGCGGCTGCGTATGGACCAAAGAGGCCGGTTTCACGATGTTCTTTTTTAGGTAGGGTGCGGGGTTTAGGGTCTAGGGTTTAGGGTTTAGGGTTTAGGGTTTAGGGTTTAGGGTTTTAGGGTTTTAGGGTTTAGGGCTTAGGGTATTAGGAATACGGGTTTAGGGTTTAGGGCCGCGGTTGGGATTTTGGCGGCTGAGGTTCAAATGGCCTAGGGTTTGTTGGAGCCTGGGTAGTTCTGAACCAGATAAAGTTGGGGGGTGTCAACTATAATATCAAATAAGCTCATACCCTAAACCCTAAACCCTGGAGCCTAAACGCTAAACCCTAAACCTTAAAGCCTCTTTGACCCGAGATTTTTTGAGGGCTTGGATGTTGAGGCTGCAAGGTTCTACCCCTAAAGAGCCGGAGTGATGGTCGCAGAGGTGACATGGGATGACCCCGAGACATTCATGCCCTTACATAGCCCCTTGAAGCCTAGCCCCTTGAAGCCCCTAGGCTGCATAGACCCCCTGGCTCTTACTTGAGAGTGGGGGAATGAGGTACCCTATACAATCCCTTAATGGGTATATATCGGGGGGATATAGGGTACCGGAGTCCCGCATTCCCTGCTAAGAGCCAGCCAGTAACAGCTGCCACGGCCCTCTCTTTGGACAGGATCTGGAGAGGGATCCTACATACTGGGAGGGCTTCACGCCCACTTACTGGGAGAAGCAGAAATCGTCCCTTGGCTTTGGGTTTAGGGTTTAGGGCTTAAGGGTTTAAGGGTTTAGGGAGACTTCAACCCCGGGCCCAAAGCCCAAATTATTGGGCACAGGATTCGGGTTGCATCAGGGTTTGGGGATCTGGAATCGTAGGGTTGTTTGGGTTTAGGGCTCCATTCCCAGATCCCTTCCCCCTGATATTCGGACACCGGTCTAAGAAAGTCACCGTGATATTCATTCTTGTCTTGAAGGCTTTGGGCATGTTCCCCAAGCACCTCCCCCAAGTGCCCCACAAGCCTTCAGCCTTGAAGAGGCCTTGAAATGGAGAGGCGGGGGTTTGCCCTTCACCTTCGATCCAGCACCCTGAACCTGTAAACAAGCCCGAGGGGCGGGGGGGGGGGGGGGTTTGGCCTCTCAGCCCCGAACCCTAAACCCTAAACCCTAAACCCTAAGCCCTAAACCCTAAACCCTAAACCCTAAACCCTAAACCCTAAACCCTAAACCCTAAACCCTAAACCCTAAACCCTAAACCCTAAACCCTAACCTTTTCCCCGAACGCAAAATCGGGCCAAGGGCGGCTTCCTGACGCAAAGGGGACGCTGCGCCTGTCAGGGGTCTGGGTTTTGCGATTCAGGGTCCCCCTCCTTCAGCCCTACACCCTGAGACCTTTCCAACCCGAGAACGGTGGAAGTGTGTTTAGGGTTTAGGGTTTAGCGTTTAGGGTTTAGGGTTTGGGAGTAGGGCCTAGTCGGCGTCATTATCGTCGTCGTAGTCGTCATCAGCAGTCGTAGTAGTCTTAACTTCAAGTCGCTGGCACCTGATTTTCCTGACCAAGTTATATGGTAATTACCCTACTGTAAGAACCCTAAACCCTTAGGTTTAGTGTTTAGAGTCTGATAGGTATGTAGTGTTACAGGAGTCAGTGGAGACGTCTACTTTCTAGATCATCCCAGGGGTTTTGCTGTGGGCTGCGCGGTGATAGCCATGTGCGGTGATCCCTTGCAGCCCCCACCCCCATTTTTTAACGCACGGGAGCGACAGGACTGCCCAAAAGCCCAAAGCGTGGAGGCGAAACCCGAAACCATTGAACCTTGAGGTTTAAACCCTTGGGCAGCTTCGCGAAATTGCGCTCCCTCTTAAGGTAAAAGTAACTGTAAGGCTCCGGATGACGCTGGGAACCGCCAAAGGGGACCATAATCTAGACTACACCCTAAACCCTAAACCCTAAACCCTAAACCCTAAACCCTAAACCCTAAACCCTAAACCCTAAACCCTAAACCCTAAACACCTGCAGCCTGAAGCCCCGAAAGACAAGCTTGAGCAGTGCTCCCGCTCTCGCAGCAACCCAAAGAGCCCAATGCCCCTTAAGTAAGGGTTCAGGGTTCAGGGTTCAGGGTTCAGGGTTTAGGCTTTAGGCTTTAGGCTTTAGGCTTTAGGCTTTAGGCTTTAGGCTTTAGGCTTTAGGCTTTAGGAGTTTTATATATAGGGATCCTTAATGAGATCCAAGGTCTCTTGCCTTAATTCAGGGGCATTGGGCTCGCAGCAAGAGCCTCAAAGTGGCAGGCTCCCAACTTGTTTAGTTCACCTCTCGGGGCCCGCGTGCCCTCAACCTGAAGCTTGTCATGTAGGGTTGGAATGCTTTTGGGGCTTTGAACTCTTGGGGTTTAGGGTTTAGGGTTTAGGGTTTAGGGTTTAGGGTTTAGGGTTTAGGGTTTAGGGTTTAGGGTTTAGGGTTTCGGGTTTCGGGTTTCGGGTTTAGGGTTTAGGGTTTAGGGTTTTGGTCCTGGTAAACCCTAAACCCCGAAAACGCTCAAGCAAACTTGCTGAATTTGCGCGGATCAGGCTGGGGGCTTGGTCCTTGATGTTCTAGGACCCGGAGTAAGCCCTTATTTCCATTTTTTTACGGGCTTAGGTTCTCTTATAAACCCCTTTTACACCAAAAAGGGCACCATGTTTATTCCTAGGTTACTCCTGGGTCTAGATGTTCCAGTTGACTTGTGAGGCTGCTGGGTGGCGCCAGTCGTGCCATCCTTTGCCCGCGATCATCAAAAAGTCCGAAAGGCTCTCGCCGTAAACCCCATACTCTACAATCCCAAACCCTAGAACCCTATTTACCCTGTAAACCCCTGTAAACCTCAAACCCTCAACCAACCAGTAAGTTGAGAGGCCGCCACCTCTCAAGCCTTCAGAGCAGGAGCAGTATGGCCCTGGCTCCTCGTGCACACGCTTCGGAGGTGAGAGAGGAGGAGGTGTGGGAGCGTTCAGGGTTTAGAGGTTAGGCTTTATGGAGGTTTCTGTCTCTCTCTCGCTCTCTCTCTCTCTCTCTTTTTTGTTGGGGGGGGAGAGGAGCTCTGGATGTGACTTGCTGTCACATCTGGAATGCGCAGCTTGGGTTGCAGGGGTTGGGTAGTGGGGAGGTACAGAGCTTAGTCAGGGCATAGGGACTTAAGTTTCTGCCACCACAGGATTTCACACATGTCGCCTTTAACCCTAAATCCGAAACCCTAAACCCCTGAGTTAAGACGTCAGGAAGAGAGTTGATCCTGGTAGAAGGGCTTTGCTGGGATTGGGCGCCCCTGATATTCAATTTTCAGGGGGGATTTGTGGCTTTGGGTAGCCATAGCTATGCCTGCGACGCACCACCATCACCACCACTACCATGGTGGGGTCTTTCGGGTTTAGGGTTTAGGGTTTAGGGCTTAGGGTTTAGGGTTTAGGGCCCAGAGGCAGTCAAAGGCTTTTCAGCCGTCCCTGGAATTCTGCCAGTTCGAGAGAGAAGCCCCTGACAGGACTTCATGGCGAGTAAAGTCTCATCGTTTGCTAGGAGCGAGAGTAGGCCCTTATTCCTTGTTTTTAGCGTCCAGGTTCCCTCATAAGCCCCTTGAAACAAACAAAAAAGGGGCACCCCTTTTTTATTCGTAGGTTGCTCTTAAACCCTAAACCCTAAACCCTAAACCCTAAACCCTAAACCCTAAACCCTGGTCTAGTTTGGGTTCAGCAGGAGGCAGTGGCTGCTGCCCTGGCAGACACCGCGCCAGCTCGCGAGCACGCGGCCCTGATTCTGACCCTAAACCCTAAACCCTAAACCCTAAACCCTAAACACGATTCTGCTTCCGTCCGGGGGTCGGGTGGGCCCTTCAAGTCGGTATGCAGAATTCGGGTCACGTCTTGGGTTCCCTGTACCTGTACCATACGGCACCCTATACTAAGGACCCACCCACCCTTCTCGGCTTGAGATGGGGCGGGATTCATGGGTTTTTCTATACATGAGGCGTTTCCGTATAGATTTCAGGGGTTTTCCGTGGATTTCAGGGGGCTTTCCGTAGATCAAGGGTTTTCCGTGGGAGTTTCCCGTATTTCGGCTTTCCGTGGAATTATAGGTGCAATGTTTCGAATTTGAGGTGCGTTCAAGGCATCGCAGAGCAGAAACCCTTTCCGTGACCTTTCCGCGCCAGCTCAAATTATGGATGTTTACGGTTTTGTTTTACGGTTTTTATGGTTTTTTCATGGTTTTTTCTGGGCGTTTTTGCGTGGATTCTTTCCGTAGGGGCTCTTGGTAAGGCCACGGAAACCCTAAATCAACAAGTTTACGGGCGAAGTACGGGTTTTTATGGGTGAATTACGGGGTTTTACGGGCGTTTGGGGTGCTATTGCCGATCCCAACTGGAAAAAAACAGTCCAACATGCAACTGTAGTGGCACCCTCAACCCTAAACACCCTCACTACAAACCCTCAACCCTAAAAACCCTCACTGAAAACCCTCAACCCTAAAAACCCTCAACCCTAAAAACCCTCAACCCTAAAATCCCTCCTAAAAACCCTCAACCTAAAAACCCTTAACCCTAAACACCCTCAACCCTAAACACCCTCAACCCTAAAAGTCCTCAACCCCAAGCACCCTCAACCCTAAAAACTCTCAATCCAAAACAGGGCTTCGGGAAAGGTTTGATTGTGGGTCGGATTTGACAGTTGGGTTCACCCAAGCATTCCTGTGTTCCTTCTCTAAACCCAAAACCCTGCAACCTCTGGAAGGGGACAAAGGTTCAGGCTCCGCGATAAGCTTGGTGCTTGGTGGGTTGTATATTTGTTTACATTTTTATACCGAATTCTCATGTCCCCGATTTGGCAATTACGGACGTTTCCAGTAAACTCTTCATACCCCCCGATCTCGGAATTACGGGCGTTTCCAGTAAAATCCTAATCCTCCCCGATCTCGGAATTACGGGCGTTTCCAGTCAAATCCTAATCCTCCCCGATTTCGGAACTACGGGCGTTTCCCGAATTACGGGCGTTTGCTTTTTTTACGAGCGTTTCCTAAAATTTTTCCAAACAACCAAACATAAAAGGGTCGTTTGGAGACCCAGGTAGGGGTTAGGGTTTAGGGTTTTGGGTTTATAGTGTTTAGGACTTATTGTTTAGGGTTCATAAGACCTACCCTATAATTCCTTAAGCCTGAAGCCACAGCATAGACCTGAACTCCGAATTGAATGAAGTTCTTGAGGCTTCCTCCGGTGGACAGCGATCGGGACAGAGGTGGGCCATCGTCTAGGCCCTAAACCCTAAACCCTGGATTCTAAACCCTCTAAACCCTCTAAACCCTAAGAAACCCTTAACTTAGCCGAATTGGGGATTATAGGGGTTGGGGACCGAAGAGTCATTCAAAGGGTCAATGAAGCCCCAAAGCCCTTAAGACCTCGAGGTTCCTATACTGCTTCTCCTCGCCGGAGGGGTTGGTTTAGGGCGTAGGGTTGGGGTTTGGGGTTTAGGGTTTAGGGTTTAGGGTTTGGGGTTTAGGGTTTAGGGTTTAGGGTTTGGGGTTTAGGGTTGAGGGTGTAGGGTTTAGGGTTTAGGGTTTATTCGGTTCATCTAATGCCCTGCTTTAGATAGCTGAAAGAGTCGTTGCAAAACCTCAGGCGCCTCGCAGAGGAGGTGTGGGGTTTGGGATCCAGGGGGTTTCGCCACGTCTGACCTCGGAGTCTTCCAGGTACCAGGATGGGCTATTAGGCCTTAAAATCCCCACAATGAACCCTATAAAGGGCCTTTTAAGGGATTATAGGGAATAGTAGCCCATCCTGGTAGTTCTCTAAATGAGGGTCTCCTTTTCGCGTCCTACATACAGTACGGAACCCTTCTAATCAGGACCCTCCAAAAGGGACCCTACTCTAGAGAACTGCCCATATTGGCTGCTTCTTGAAGCAGGTTTACCTTGTCAGATGACCTTAACCTCGGAGCCCAATCCTGTAATGAATTTGGGTTGGTAATGGCACCCGACCTGAACCCTAAACCCGAAACCCTAAAACCCTACAATTCTAAACCCCTTGGAGGTTGGGGTTTTGGCAAAGTGGGCCTGCTTTCTTAATTCAGAATAATCATCATTTTTATATTTATCCATATGGTGTAGATGGCTTTTTTCGAGCCTCAAGACGAAGTAGAGAATTGCTACACCTGAAGGACCCCAAACTAGGGGGGGACATCAGATTTAGGCACCCCAAAAGAGCGGGCGGGTTAAAGTCATCTGATAGGGGCATGGGGCCACGGGGCCATGGGAAACGTGCATGGGGGGAAGGGGTGTGTGGGTGGTGGCAGCCATGTGGGATCCTGGGGTCATGAGCTGGAGCCGGGGTCGAGGGCATGGAGCCGGGGTCGAGACCCCCACGTCTCTTCCTCCTAAACCCTAACCCGACCCGTTAAACCCTGAGCCCTAAACCCTAAACCCTAAGCCCTAAACGCCCACATACACGGCCTTCGAGAGTCCTAGCCTAAGCCGCTCCATGCAAAGGCAACTTTGGCAAAAGGGGGCAAGATTCGTCTGCCAAAAAACCCTGGAAGATGCCCCTAAATTTGGGATGTTCCCCCTGACACTAACAGTCCTTAACAAGGATTATAGTACTATTCTGATCCCTCTTCAGGACTGTTCGAAAAAAGGGGGAACATCCCAACCCTAAATCTTAAACTCTGGGCCCTAAACCTTATAAACCCTAAACCCTTAACCCTAAACCCTAAACCCTAAACCCTAAACAACAGCCAGGGCCAGAAGAAGCGGGGCCAGAAGAGGCTGTCCAAGCAGCTGACAGGCCTGTGCCCCTAAACCCCACACCCTAAACCCTAAACCCTAAACCCTAAAACCTAAACCCTAAACCCTAAACCCTAAACCCTAAACCCTAACCCCAAACCCAAAACCCGGAGCCCTTCTAGACGCTTGAGGCGCTTAAGCCTTAAAGCCTGTTTAGGGTTTCGGTTTTCGGGTTTGCAGGGGGACCAAGCAATGGCCCGTAGTCCATCTTTTTTTACGGGGTGTTGGGTGCTCTTGTGAAGGGTGAGGTTCCCTCCGCGCAAGTCTACTTAGGCATAAAGTGAGAGGTACTCTACCTGCTTCATCCTCGAGGTTTCTGAGGAACCTAGGTACCCAATGCGGGTTTAGGGTTTAGGGTTAGGGTTTAGGGCTTGGGGCTTAGAATTAGGATTTCGGGTTTAGGGCCGTTTAGGCATAGGGCTTAGGGCTTAGGGCTCAGGGCTCAGGGCTTAGGGCTCAGGGCTCAGGGCTCAGGGCTCAGGGCTCAGGGCTCAGGGCTTAGGGCTTAGGTCTTGGGTTGGGGCTTGGGGCTTGGGGCTTGGGGCTTAGGGCTTAGGGCTTAGGGTTTAGGGTTTAGGGTTTAGGGTTAAGGTTGTTATTCAACCCTGGAAAGGTCCGACATGCTTTGCTGGTTCTTCGTCTGGAAGTAGGGTTTGGGGTTTAGGGTTTGGGGTTTGGGGTTTAGGGTTTAGGGTTTAGGGTTCAGGGTTTAGGGTTTAGGGTTTAGGGTTTAGGGTTTTAAGGTTCCTAAGGTAGCAGGCTTTGAAGTTGAGCGCCACCCACGGTGACGCGCACTGAAAAGGCCTTCAAACGATCTGGCTCTTGAAAATCGAACAGAGAACGGTAGCCAGACATGCGGCCAATTTCTTTGTTACTCGTGACGTCTTTCTGCATACAAGGTTCCTAACTCCCTAGTAAGTTCAGAGATGGGTTGATCTTCCCTGGTCCCTAAACCCTAGCCCTAAACCCTAAAACCTAATTCGCCCTGAACCCTAAACCTTATAAACCCAGAGTTCAAAATTCAATCTTGAACCAGAACCCTTGCGATCGCAAGCCACACATCTACACCCGCTCGCATGAATAGTTGGGCTTTCGGGTCAATCACATTTGCCGGGGTTTAGGGGTTTAGGGGTGTAGGGTTTGCTGTTTTTTTCAGGGGTCAAGTTCCCTGACGAACCCAAGTCATCGAAAAAGTGCCATTTTCCTCGCGGGTTGCTATGGGGCTTAACCCTAAACCCTAAACCCTAAACCCTAAACCCTATGGTGTAAGATACTCGAGCCGCCAGGCACATGGCCGCAGCATCGGCTGAGAATGAGGTCGAGAAGGTGCAAATGACATCATGGGAGGCTGGGTGCAGGGGTTTAGGGTTTAGGGTTTAGGGTTTAGGGTTTGGGGTTTAGGGTTTAGGGTTTAGGGTTTAGGGCTTCGGGTGTACTTGGAGGTTCAGGGTACTTATAACCCCAATTCCAACTGTGCTTATAAGCCTCCTAAGTCCCCTAAGTCCCCTAAGTCCTCTAAGTAGTAGGTTTTCAGTAGACTTGTAATTGGGGTTATGAATACCCATGAACCTCCAAGTAGGGGTTAGGGTTTCGGATTTAGGGTTGGGGGACCCCTGGGTCTTGTGCCCCAAGCACTCCGGCCGCACATTCCTGATGCAAACAAGGCCCTCTAGGTTAGGGTTTAGGGTTTAGGGTTTCAGGTTTAGGGTTTAGGGTGTAGTGTTTAGGGTTTAGGGTTTAGGATTCCTAGACTTTAAAACCTTGATTGGCCATGGATCAAACGTGCACATGCAGCCCAAATCATGCTGACCCGATGCATTGACACATTTGAGCTTTAAAGGTTTAGGGTTTAGGGTTTAGGGAGCATAAACTTGTGCCTTCCAAAAGCAGAGGCCGACGAGGAAGGACACTCAAGGGTGTGTGCTTGCACCAGCAGGCAGAACAGGAAAAGCCAGCCCCAGCTTGCGGCAAGAAGGCTTAGAACCGTCTTTTGGCATTTGGTAACCCTAAACCCTAAACCCTAAACCCTAAACCCTAAACCCTAAACCCTAAACCCTAAGTGATCCATTCTCAGCCCCCAAGTTCAGTGCTAGCTTGCAAGCGGACTGCTGCGAGACCCAACTAGCTGCAAATGGCTGGTCCATAACGGGCAAAAGGTTGACGACCCCTCCTTTCCAATCTAAACCTAAACCCTAAACCCTAAACCCTAAAAC